TCTGGACCCAAAGGCAAGCACCCAAAGGGGTGACAGCCAACTGCAGCAGCTGCAAGCAGAGCACCAAAGCCTCACTGCAGCTGGACAGCATTTTTTATCAGCTTCCGAGGGCCCCAGGACAGTGGCAGAGGAAGGGGAAAGGTGCTATTGCTTTCTGTCTCATTAATTATATCAGATGGCAACACCATCCAAGGCAAAGTGTAGAAAATAAAAGCAAGTAAACAGCCCTGCCAATGAGTGTTTCTAGATGTTGGCTAATGATGGGGATGGCAATAAAGGACTGTGATGGGTTTTAAGGCTTTCCTCTCCTGTTGCTTTCTCCACTCATCTTATCTTCATAGCCAGAGTCACTCAGGGACACCAGGTACAAGCAGGGCTGATTGGCCAGGCAGGGGGGAGGGAAGCTGAGGTGCTCCTCAGTGAGCACCAGGCAGTAAACATGTCACATAGTGAAAGCACAGTCACACAGCTGGACTGTCTTGGCTCTCCTCCCACCCAATTTCATTAGGGTCATGTCTATCCACAAACCTTCTATGTGATTAAAAATGTTGGCCAGCCCTGAAGGTGATCAAGGGAGCATGCAAGGCTCACAGGCACTCATAAAATCTCTGCACTAGTGACACTAATAAAAAGAAACCCAGAAGGGAGACATGCAGAAAAAGTATTGCTTCAAAAAGAATCAGTGGTCTGGATGGGTAGAGAAAAGAGTTATGCATGGCACAGGCGGGGCCCTGGATGAGGTGAAGCAAGATGTGCTTATGTGGAAAGACAGACTAGTCTGGCTCACTACAGAAACAGGAAAACATTCCCACTGCTTTGTAGGCAAAACCTGTCAAAGACAGTATTTGTTGTGCTTACATCAAGATGTCTTAGCTGTACCCTAAACTGAGGGTGGGCCATTGGGTTTCTGTTCACATTGTGGATCTCCCATCTCTCAGTAATTCCAGGAGGCGCCCAATCCCAGTTCCACCCCCATGTGAGGTGAAGCATGGAGTCTGAAAAAGTGAAATCCCTCAATAGCCTCAAATCTCATAGGTTTTTTTTTGCAGGAAAACTTTACTCATGGATCTCTGAAACAGATGCATCTTTTTCTGACCTAAGAAATAAATGCCAGGAGAACTTCCTTGGTCATTCAGTAGCCATGCCAGAACTTCCTCATAAACAGACATCAGTCATGTGACTAAAAACTGAACCAAATGCACCGTATAAGCAATAATGAAACCAATCTTCTCAGTCTGAGCAGCAAGCCTTTATTAGTCCCTTCTGTGCTGAATTTTAGGATCCATTACCACTCTTATACCACATCAAAAAATCACTGCCATGTGTCCATCATTCAGCAACTGCTTTCATCTTCTTCTCTTTTTCAATCCTATTTAACCATAAACATCCCAGTTTCTCCTCTAAACTAATCTTCCTTCGATCTGACTTCCCTGCGTCCATAATTTTTTTTCTCAGATGCTTAGAACAAATTTGAATTTTCAGACTGATGAAAAGATTTTCCATTAAAGAGAAGAAGGAAAGAAAAAGTACTGACCTGATATTTTCTGTAATTCTTTTCCTTTACAGCAGCCAAGCTGATATAGGGAAATATGGGGAGGTTCATACTCTCTTAAACACAAAGCTTAGCAGAATGAGTTACACAATAAATTAAAATAAATAGTCTAGGAATATAATCAGATAGAATAACATACTTAGAACAATAACCTTTATTCTAGTGCCCACTGCTTATCAGTGTCAGTGGTGTCATAGTCACAGTACATTCACAGAATCAGAATCACAGAATGGCCAGGGTTGGAAGGGATCTCAAGGATCATGAATCTCCAATCCCCCTGCCACATGCAGGGCCACCAACCTCCCTATTTAATGCTAGACCAGGCTTCCCAGGGCCCCATCCAATCTCTCTTCCTTGCTGTCCCCTATTCTTTTCTATGATTTACTGCGTCCTTAATAAGATCACTTAATTCTTACAGCAACTTTGTATTTTCACTTTTATAGGAAATTGGTTGACTCCTTGGGGAGATGACCAAAGGGCACACAGTGATAACAAACCAATGATCCTTTTCAACAGGAATTGCAGAGAAGTCCTGTTGACTCAAAGGATGAAAATAAGTGACTGATTTGAAAGGAAACAAACCCTTACTTGGAGGAAATATTGACAAAAACTGTTCTTTCCCCAAATAATTTCAGAATTGAGGATTAAACAAATCTTATTAACTGGCAGATTTGCTGTTGTTGGGAAGAAAAGTGTTGCAGAGGATGTCAAAAAAAAAAAAAAGAATAGCACACAAACAGAAGGAAATTGGTAGTATCTGGTTCTACATAGATATTTACTTAAATTTTTGCCTTTTTGTACCCTTAACTGCTACACTGAAATCAAATGATTCAGTTCTAATTTCACCGTCTGTAGGTAAGTTAGATACAGTACGTTAGATATCACACCTACATTTATACCAAACAGGATTTGTCTCTGAATTAAGACACTTACACCTTGAGGTCTGTTCTATTCAAAGATGAATCTCTCTCTGCCAGAGTCCATATTCCTATTTCCATCCATGGATATCAGTGCAGACTATACAGTCAGTGCAAAGCTATTCAGCTAATCCTAAATTATGCTGGAACTAAATATTCTCTTGTAAAGTGCTGACTCTAAACTTTACTTCTGTCAATTTGGGGAGCTCAGATACCAAGTGCTAGATTTAGTTCTCCAAACACAGATAGCCATTGCCATCTAGGATTCATAGGATACCCACCTGAGCCTCCAGCTGCTGGTCCAGAAAGACAAGGTTTCTCTGTCCACCTCTACTGGGTGTCCTGGATCCCCTCCCCCTGGTTCTCAGGTGGCATGATACTTGCAGTGAAAAATTACCTTAGCCCCTAAGCCACATGCTGATGTGGAGATATCTAGATTTCTATCAAGAGATGACTTTCTTTCTACTTTAAAACACTGCAATTAATTTTAGTTTAGCTGTCATTTAAAAATTATAACTAAGAGATGAGTAGCAAGCCTTCTTCAGTCTGACAGTACTTCAGCAGATGGCCAGAAGAAGGCTCTATTACTGACTGAGAAGGACTGGAAGAAAAGCTGCTGCTGAACTCACAAACCTACCTTCGTTTCAAAGGCACTTCAGCATTGGTTAGATTTCTCTGCCAGGAAAGAACTAGCAGCACACATATGGAATTGAATGCTTACAAATTGCCCTTCCCTAAAGAGGAGAGAACACCAAACAGTCTAACATACCACTGACACACAGTGGCTTGTGCCACAGTTTATGGACAGCAGTGAAAATATGCATATTTTAAAGGGAAAGCTCTGTGTGGTGAGTGCCTCTTCTGTTTGTGGTTTTGTGGCATTAAAATAACAAAACTTCTGCAAGTGACATTTCCCCAGATAGTAACCAGTGTTTTTTAAAAGCAGTCTGTTACTATACAAGTAATTATCTCCTTTCAAATTTTTAGAAATCTTCTCAGGTTTGTCTAAAACCAGCACTTTATCAGTTGTTTTTTTATATATACATTCTCATTCGCATTCCAGTGCAAGAGTCCCAAGGCAATATACATCACTGAAGACATTTTTAAAACTCACTCGGTGTAATAGAATTTCACTATAAAGAATTCTGGTGGGACCTGGACAGATATTCATTATACTGCATGTTCCTTATGATCAGTTTTGACAATTTACCACATCAGAAAGTTAGCAAATGTCTGACTTAAAGGGATATTTTGTGTACAGTTTTTTAAGGAGAACTCGTCACACAGGTTTTAAATATTCATCAATCTTTAAATGAAACAGTAAAAATTAAAAGGGAAATACATGTTGTTAGATTAGGAACTATCTACCCTAAGTTTAGTCAGGCATCCAAAAGTCAGGCATTTAATCTAGGCTGCTTGTCTAGGCTCCATTTACAGTGAGTTGTGAGAGGTAATTGGTGATACGTGCCTCCAGGGTGTAATTTAACCAACCTACTTCAAGGATGGAGTTTAAGATAAAATGGAGAAGTCTTTGAAGGTGCCCCTTTCTCTCCACTGGCTTAAGGGGAAAACTAGAATAATGGAGCAGAAGACACCTAATTTCTAAATGGTTCAGTGACGTGTGGTGTATCTTTGCAGTAAGTCTAGGACATATATAAAAGGACAAAAATGCAAGGCAAGGCAAGGCAAGGGAATTAGACCTACAAATCTAATGTATGTCTCTGACAAACAAAGATAAATACCAATGGGATAAATGTGGTGTTGGTTGTTGCTAGATTAAAAAAAAAAAAACAAAACACAAACAAATAAATAAAAAAAATCTTTCAAGTAAAGTTTATATAGTGAAGATAGATCATAAAATCCAAAATAGCATTGATGATATTTAGATATTTAGTGATCTAACTGAGAACAGAATGTGCCCCTCCAAAATTTAAATAGGCTTAATATGGTGCACAACAGTTTTGTCAGTTTCTATTTGGAACTGAATTTCACCCATAGTAAATTAGAATTCTCTGGCAACTGTCCCATGATCTCCACACATTTCTGGTCGATGCTCTTAATATACAAAGGCTTTTTATCAGTAAACTATGTCTGGACTGCAACCAAACTCCAACTCCTACTCTTTCTCCATGCCACAACATTTTTATAAAGCTGAAGAAACATACCATATTGAACCCAGAGCTTTGAAGTCTAAACACCAATACACCAATACACCATATTAACATAGAATAGTCCAAAAATAAGTTACTTATAGCCAAATTATTCCTGTAGTATGCAGTGGTCAAACAGTGCAATGTTTTTAACTGAAAAGATACTGCTCAACTACAGTCTGTATTTAAGTGCTGTCAGAAACTGATTACCATTCTTGTAACATTTTCATTGATTTTATTCTTTTTATTTTTTCTTCTTCTATGCATTACTGACTAAAAATACAAAGGAATTATAAGTATAATGGTCTCATTTCAGAGACTTCCTATGATGACTAGTAATTGATCTTCACCATATGCATATATTAGAGGAAATTAAGTTACCTGAAAAGGCTTTTGTTATCTGGCACAATCCTTCTTTACTGCAAAGGAAATACTGAATTTCTGGAAGTAGGTTTACCTGTACATGAAAGGAGAAGCTTTAATTATTTCATTCAGAAAACAGCTAAACAGTTTTTTTTTTTTTTTTCTTTTTTTTTTTTTTTCTTTTTGCTCGATCCCTCAATGGCTTTCTGCTTATTTTATCAGGAATGCTTCATGCACAAAACTCCCGTTAGTGTTACAATTTTGCCATCTCTGCAACATGGAATAACAAATTTCAAACATGGGCTTTTACTCCACGGCCATAAAACGATAACATTTCAGAGTTATGATTCTTATGTCTGGTTGCTGAGCTGTCACCCCTTCCTTGCCTGCTTTTTCAGTGCACAGAAACCTTTTACGCCTCTAGAATTTCTGTGTTTGGGCACTGTGGTAAGCTAACATAACAAAAGCACATCCAGTCTCTGCAACAAGAAACTGTGTTGGGCTGTCATATGGACATGTCAGCAGTGAGCAGTGTTAGTCCAAAATCTAATGTTATCCAGAAACACAGGCCATCTGGTTTAAGTCCCTGCTGTGCTGCAGTCTTCCTTATGGAACTTAGACAATGCCTTTGATCACCTTATACCTCAGTTATCCATGTGCAAAACTTCTGGACAGGCAGAGTGTTGCAAGGATTGTTATATAAGGATCAGATACGGTAGTATTGCATTGAATGAGTAAAAAGCACTTTGGAGAAGCCCAAGAGGTTTTATGATCTGAGATCTGAAATCATAGCATCTGTATTTCTAGCAAACTGGAACTGCTATAAAAATTACATTTTGGATACAGTGAGATAAGGCATCCTGTCTTCAGCAAACACACAGAAGTGTTCCCAGCACGTACTTAATACCCAAAATAAATGCTTTCCAAAAGTAGCTCTTTTTCTCCCAGTCTCTCAGATCAGAGTCTCACCACTATCTGTGCTATTTCACTTGAATCATAAGACAAAATGTGTCCACAACTTGGTCACCATTTTTCAAACAATATCCTCAGCTTGTCACTTATATATTTCACCAACAGGCCAGGCATTTACCTATCTAATCAATCTAAATTGTACCCACAAAATGATCAAATTAAAAAAAAAAAAACAAACAAGCAAGCAGACAAACAAGCAAATAAATTAATCTTATCATCACTGCTGCTTTGCACTATGAGTAAGCAGACTGCTGTGTCAGAGCAAAGAACTCCCACGAAGGCTTTGGAGGGTGACATTGGTTCAGCTCACACATTGTAGGTACAGTCACAGTTTGGAGAGGTGCCTGAATTGTGTTTACAAGCAGTAATTGCATTAGATAAAACTCAGGAGTGACACAAACAGTGAAGCCTAAACTAGTCCAGCTTTATCTCCTGCTTGTTTTATTATTCTAAAATATTGCCTACATTTGCTAGATGTTTCTCCTCATTCCTAAATTTTATTTTTCTAATGGAGTGCTTGTTTAAATTTCCTCTAACTTCTGTAGATGCTTTTGCTGCCAGACCCTCACACTGAGGTGGCCAAAAATGCAGAAGTTCAAAATAAAGAAGAGAAGAGCAAAACTTGGCACTAAACAGCTTTAATTCCATTTATATTGAAATCCCTACATCCAAAATATCACATTATGTATAAATGGAAAATCGCTTTTGATCTCTGGGCATCATATAAAATGAAATGCTGATATGTGAAAAGTATTTTTCAATAGAGAGGAAACTTGAAAAAATTGTTTTATATCAGTTTAATCATTCTGCTGCAGTGTAAAAGGGGAATCAGATACATTTCTTTTCGTGAGTGGGTGCTGAAAAACTGGGCTACCCATGTGCCCTCACTCCCACAAAGAATACCATAATCTCATACCTTCTGGAATAACTCCAGTTGATTCAAGTCATCTCTCTGAATGCAGCTAGTATCATCACCTTTTGTGGAAGATAAGCAGACCAGAAGATCCCAAGGGCTTATGCTACCTATTGGGAATGAAAAGAACCATACTGAGAAAGAAAACATCATGCAACTCCTATTAGAACTAAAGTACTTTGAGCAGAATCCTGAGGAAGAGCAAATGGTTGGAGTGCTGAGTACATGAACAGCTACATGTGGCAGAGGGGAAAATGACATTTAACTACCAAGCTTTGGATCTATATTTAGGTATTTCACAGCTGGCACCTCCAGTTACATCTGAGACAGTTCATGATGCCTACTGATGTCCAGTCCCCTGGTGTTTGACCTGAGCTGACATAAATCATCTGTTTAGCATTCAGAAATTAAGAAGTTCAATAACTTGGTGTTGCTTTGATCTCTTTTCTGAACTTCTCAGTATGCACATCTATAACACATAATGTGTGTTATGACCTTCTGTGGTCTTTCACTACTGGGAGAAAAATTTTACAGTAAATTTTACTGGTCGTGCTATTGTAAATTGCAGTAATTCCCACTCAGAATTTTGGTGTGGCAGCTTCCTAAATATGAGATAACAGATTGTTAAGAATCTGGTGCACATGAGGAAAATTATAGAAATTATAGATTAGAAATAAATAGGTCTTGGAGCCTGCCCATACATCAGTGTATGGTGCTGTGCAGAAAAGCTGGTGTAGCCTTTTTTCTTCAAATTCACTTTACAAGAGCCAGTGCTATAGTATAAAAATTATTAAGGCATGTAAGGAAATTCAGGCACAGCAGAATCACTACGTGCTCTTTCATGAAAGAAACATTCAAAAAACTGAAGTTTGACAAAAAATGGCATAGATCACAAATAAAACATTGAAAAGCCACACAAGTTAATACTTCAATGCAAAAGATTGACAACGTTAACAACCTAATTGATGGACTTAATCAGTTGTGTAATTATCAGATAAGCTAGACATTGTGCCTTTGACTAATAAACATCTTTGAATAAATCATTATAATTATACACAAATACAACGTCTAACTGTGTGTGAATTGAAAGGGTGCTGGAGGCAACTTCATTTCTCAGAAGTAGTTCATTTCCTTCCTGCGTTTATTGTTGCACATCCTGGCCAGGGATGAATTTGATCCCTGACTCCAAAGGATACGCTGCACTGTGTATCATTTGCCCTTTAGGACACAGCAGAGTGATCGATATAAATGCACCAAAGAAACCAGAAGGAAAAAGGCCCTCTGACCCAGCTTACTTCTGAACTAGTGCCCAAGACGTGGAACACATAGCTGCTAGGAACGATTTTTCAGGACAGGTTGAATGCCTGCCACTATTTGTGTTTTATATTTAGAATAATTAGACATCTAGCCAGTTGCTTCAGTACAGAACAATCAGAACTAAAACATGCCTATTTTTAGAAGGCAGGAGATTTCCTATTAGAAAAACAGTGTACACCTTGTGCTGTCTCCCAAATTCAGGCTGACAGAGCACTTGGACTTCTATTTAAATGTATCACTACATTTCTAGTGATTTGCGCCTGAAATAAAATATGTTCTTGGAAAACAAAAATGAGAAGGAAGTTGGTCACAACAGCTATTTCTGAAACAGGATCTTCATGAAAAGAACTTAGAAATTGCCTCACAAGGTCTAATTTTTACTAGAAAATTATCATCTCTTCTATAAATTTGACAGTTATCAAACTATTCTAAAGAAAAAAGTGCTAGCATTATTAATACTGCAGTAACACCTAATGGCTTAGGCAAAAGATCCCAGTGTGCCAACAAGAAGCAGCCAACATTTGTTTGTCAAGAATTCATCATGTATCACTACTTTAATTTCTTCTGACAGAGTAACTGATGTAGAGAACAAAGAGGAAAAGCAATGAAACAATTACTTCATTAAGTCTTTTGGCACTATTTCTACATAAGAACTATACATACTATACATAACCATAACTGCATAACTGCTTGAAAAAATGAACTCTACATTGTCACAGTGGATTTTTTTTTTCCTCAGAACCTCAAAAATACGCCACTGTATACTCAATTCTGTTCAAATTTTTTCATTAACAAACTGAATGATGGAACTGCAAATGTATTTACAAAACAGCAACTGGCACCAGGTTTAGAGGAAGAATAAGCACTTCGGAGGACATGATCAGAATTCAAAATGATGTTGATAAATGGTCTGATTGAACCAGAGGAAATTCAAAACAAAGTGCCATAATTTCAAATGAGAAATCAGATGGACAGATACAAATGGTAAGAGGGCCCTACCGCAGATAAGAGCCAGAACCATAAACTGCATATGATTCAACTATAAATATATATTAATAAATATTATATATATATAATTATATATATATAAATTATTAATATATTTTAATATATGTTAATATATATAATATATATAATACTATTGCAGGGTCAGGGAGCACAGACTGAACTGAGTTTGGTGAGAAAGCATTCACTTATGGAAGTAGCTGCTTGTGTATATATCTGGCTTAAAACATGACAGAGCAAATTGTCTTACAAAGCAGGCTTCAGCCCTGCAATATAATCAGTTTACAGGGGGCCAAAAGTTTGCTAGTAAAGAGTGTAGAGCGGAATCATAGAATCACAGAATGGTTTAGGTTGGAAGGGACCTCAAGGATCATTAAGCTCCAACCCCCCTACCACAGACAGGGCCACCAGCTTCCTTATCTAGTGCTACGCCAGGCTGTCCAGGGCCCCATCCAACCTGGCCTTGAACACTGCCAGGAACAAGCTAGCAGAAGTGTGAAGACAGAATGATAGCCTACCTGCTGTGTTCTGGGCACCGGACTTGACTTTATGCATCCCAGCACCTCACAGGGCAAGTTGTGGGGAGGTCTGAGGGAGGTGGGAATTCCACATTTCTGATGATCTGAGCTTCACTGAGAACTCTCCAGAGGAAAACATCCTTTGAAGCCTATTTCTGGATACAACAGTTCAACTGTCTCACTTGTGTAAAGATTAGGATGCCACTTGTGGGACTGAATGCTTCCTCTTTATTAATCTGGCCTTTTGAAAGTTTTCAGTATCACTATTCTATGTACAGGACTTTCCCTAAAGGAATGTCTTATCCTTCCCCAAAAAACATAGAATCATAGAATGGCCTGGGTTGAAAAGAACCACAATGATCATCCAGTTTCAACCCCCCTGCTGTGTGCAGGGTCGCCAACCACTCAACCAGGCTGCCCAGAGCCACATCCAGCCTGGCCTTGAATGCCTCCAGGGATGGGGCATCCACAGCCTCCTCGGGCAACCTGTTCCAGTGCATCACCACTCTATGAGTGCCAAACTTCCTCCTAATATCCAACCTAAACCTCCCTTGTCTTAGTTTAAAACCATTCCCCTTGTCCTATCATTATTCACACTCTGAGTTATTTACATTTCTCTTTTAATGCTTCTCTTGATAGTCATGAGGTAATTTGAACTCACTACCACAGTGAAGAACAGTCACTCTGATAAATGAAAGATGGTGAAGTTTCTGTTGTTTCCTGAGTTGTTCAGCTGTTTATCTGTCCATGTGTAAACCTCTCACTGTTTCATACTGTATGCTTCATGCTCTTGCTGAGATTGACTGTACTCTTCTACAGTCCAGTCCAGCAACCACCTGTTTAACTTCTTATATTGGAATACTAGCCCAGTCTATTATTAAATGGGGAAGTGGCCCTGCATGTGGCAGGGGGGGTTGGAGATTCATGATCTTTGAGGTCCCTTCCAACCCTGGCCATTCTGTGATTCTGTGATTCTGTGATTCTGTGATTCTGTGGAATATTAATGACAGTGAAGTATTAGAAGTGTGGGAAAAAAACCCAAACCTAACAACACTCTATGCATGAGGCTGAGATTGTTGGACACAGCCAATTCATCCACAAAATATTCTGTATTGGTGCTGTATGGATGCCAGGTAGAGCCTGGAGGATTCCAGGGGACAGCTGCTATTCACTCTCTGGAGAACATTAGGGTTTTACCTTGGCTTAGTGACCCCACAGCTAAAATAACCTAAAATATCAAAGGAAGAATTCTTTGTGGAGGAGAGACTGGCAAGAAGCAAGTGGAATCAGTTGAATTCTCAGGACAGCTCATCTGTCTCTTAAGTGTTTAGTAAGAAATACTGCCCCATGAAATTAATTAATGTAAAGTCACAAATGAGATCAACATTTAGGGAGTGAAGTCCATCTGAAGTCCTAACAAGTGGCATCATCCATGAGCAGAGGGTAATGCTTGACTGTTCTGTGTTTCCTCTGCAAATACTGGCAGAGAGATGACAGATTTAAGTTCAAATCAGGAGACCTGGAGCTTCCATTCTCACCTAAAAAATTAAAATGTTATTTTTTTACTGTTTCTTTCATCAGCAACGTCTAGGCAGAAAACCTACTCTTCCTGTCAATCTGTAGCAGAAATTATAAAAGTACAAAAATAAATGAGTGCGACAATCCAAAAGTTACAAGTTTCTTCCAGAATAACTCTTCTCTAATTGAGGCAGATATCTTCCTTTTTCTACCTGGAACAAAACTCTAAGACTGCTCTGGGTTTACTCACAAACTTAACCATTTACCTTCTGGAGTTATGAGGTAATTAGTTACCTCACTGCGATACTGCTAGTACAAGGCAGAGGATTGTCTTTAGAAGAAGCAAAGATTTCAGTTGCAGACATAAACAAAAGAACAGAGTAGAGATGGGACAATCCTTTCTCCATTAATTTCACTTTCATTCAAGTAATAGATTTACAGTTATCTCTTCAATCAACACTCTGGGTCATTATAACTACTGTAAGTAGTTGCCACAGCCACAAGTGACAACCATGAAGGTATTTTCAGACTTCTTAAAGCTGTGTTTTGCAATCTATAGATAATTGTTTGTCTGCAAGACATCAGAACGCAGTGCACAAAAAAGTTGCAGCATTATTAAGCTATATTCACTTTTACTTTTTTTTTTTTATATGCAACCAGACAATGAAAGGAACACTGGAAATAAAAGCAACTAAAGTACATTCAATAGTTGTACTAGTCTGAGTTGGGATGAGAAATATTGTAGCGCACTA